TTTTTTTGAAAATCTTCTTCTCTGCTCCTGGGTATTAAATAAACTAACTAAGTGCATAGTTATGATGAGCAAGAGTGCCTTTACCAAAATTGTGAATTTTATGGCCCTAGGGTTAGGGGTTCTAGTGTTAGGGCGGGGCTCTATAGATTATATAGTGAAAATTGATGAATTCTTTGAAAATCTTCTTCTCTGCTCCTGAGTATTAAATAAACTAACTAAGAGCATTGTTATGATGTGCAAGAGTGCCTCTACCAAAATTGTGAAATTTATGGCCCCAAGGTCAGGGGTTCTAGTGTTAGGGTGGGGCTCTATTGATTACATAATGGAAATACATGAATTCTTTGAAAAAATTTCTTTTCTGCTTCTAGGAATTAAATAAACTAAGAACATAGTTATGATGAGCAAGAATACCTCTTCCAAAGTTTTGATATTATGGGCCTAGGGTCAGGGGTTCTAGTGATAGGGTGGGGCTCTGTTGATTATATAGTGAAAATACATTAAATCTTTGAAAATTTTCTTCTCTGCTCTTGGGTATTAAGCAGATGAACTACGTATGTAGTTATGATGAGCAAGGACCCTAATCTTCCAGAATTGTGAATTTCAAGGCCCCAGGGTCAGGGGTACCATAGGGGGGGATGTACTTAAATACTGAAACTGGATGAATTGTTTGAGATCTGCTCCTTGGTATTAATCAAATATTTTTGAAAAGCAAGGGTGCCTTTTCAAAAATTGTGCAATGTGTGGATCTAGGCCTAAGGGTCAGGGGTTCATATGTGATAGGGGCATTACTGATTATTGCTGAATATTACTGATTACTTGAAATGCATTTTTTGTTCCCCCACCCTGCCTATGGGTATTAAGTAAACAAACTAAGCAACTGCTAAGTATATTGTTATGATGATCAAATGGTGCCTCTTTCAAAATTGTGAATGCCATAGCATCTTGCTTAAAACATGAATCAAATTAAATCACTGGAAAGTTGTTGCATAATGCTCAGGTGACCTATAAGGCCCATGGGCCTCTTGTTTAGGTAGTTGCAGACTGTGTCGGGAAACAACAGGATTGTTGGTTAAACCACTCAGTCTGCAACTACAGTGTCATAACTTTATAGCTGATTATTGGTTTAATTGTGGTTGATTCTTTTCTTATAATTCGTTGTCGTTAAGTTCATATTTGTTTGCTAATCATTATCCAGGTAGGACCGAGGAAAAATATATTATAACACGAGTTTGTCTATTTTTGCCAATCCAGATTTTATATTTGTCATTGTCATTGTTTCGTCTGCAGAAGTTCCTCAAATCAGGAAAAGCGTTAATAGCAAGATCAGTTGGATATGTAAAAGATGGAGAAATACCAGTCCGAATGATGAATCCATCCAATGAACATCAAACAGTGTATCCAGGAACATTTATTGCAAATATGAGTTCAGTTGACAATGTTTTTGAACCAACCTCTACTGTAAACAAGCCATGCAAAGATCTGCCATCTCATCTGCAGGATCTGTTTGAGATATCTAAAGTTCATCTAAATGGTGGTGAAATACCTCAGTTATAGACGTTTTTGGCTAAGTATGCAGATATATTTGCGAGGTCAGACAGAGACTTGGGACGTACTTCACTGGTTAAACACACTATTGATACCAAGGATGCACGCCCACTGAAAGAACCTCCCAGAAGAATTCCACATCATTTACAGGATGAGATGAACAAGCAATTAGATGACATGCTTGACAGGAAAATCATAGAGAAATCGAATAGTCCATGGGCATCGGGAGTCGTTTTAGCTAAAAAGAAAGATGGTTCTTTGCTATTTTGTGTGGATTACAGGCGTTTAAATGCAGCTACAGTCAAAGACGCCTACCCACTTCCACGCATCGACGACTCGTTAGACAGTCTTGCCGGAGCAAAGTGGTTCTCAACCCTTGACTTATGCTCCGGGTATTGGCAAGTTAGCATGGGTGACTCAGATAAACTATTTGGTGAGTGATTTATACATGCATTGTATTAAGAAGAGTTCAAAGTTTAATATTTCCACTGCAACAAGGTGCGACTTTTTGCACATGCTGAAAAAATAAACCATTTGAGAAAAAATTGTGATAAAATAGCTTAATTAAGCTTTTCCGAATAGCTTAATAAAGCTATATAATAGCTAAATCAAGCTATATAATAGCTAAATCAAGCTATAAAGCTTAATCAAGACTCTGTGCTGGACCTGTCAGAGTACATCAAACAAATCAATTTTTGTATTGTGGGCCTGAACATCCAAACCGTGTTTTGAGATGATGGATTCGAATAAGTTTGACTTATTTTTGTGTTGTTTTTGAAGTGGCATGGTATGTTTTCTTGACCACCTCTAAGTACATTCAAAGAAAAATGAAACATGACATAATTAACACAAACACATAATAATTTTTTTAGCACGTGTAGTGCGCTGGTACCATTTAGGCGTCAGAACTTTCATCTATGAAGACCCACTTGCTAATGGCCACCATGCACAGAAAAGACCATGATGTGGAGGACATATGTGCTTAGTTATTAGTAAGTCAATTTTATTGCAGTCAAAATTCCTCATTGCCACTGGACGGCTATTAATCAACATTCCCAGGCACATAAGTAGCCGGACTGGCGATCTTGTCATAGGGATTTTTCCCTTAAGTAACAGTTTTCAGTCCAACATGCCCTTTCTCTTAACAACCCTGACAACAGAAACTATAAAAGGATACGGGGTTCTGGTGTTAGGGTGGGGCTAAATAAGTATATAGTGAAATTTCATGATTTCTTTGAAAATCTCCTTCTCTGCTTCTGGGTATTAAATAAACTAACTAAGTGCATAGTTATGATGAGCAAGAGTGCCTCTACCAAAATTGTGAATTTTATGGCCCCATGGTCAGGGGTTCTGGTGTTAGGGCGGGGCTCTATTGATTATATAGTGAAAATACATTAATTCTTTGAAAATCTTCTTCTCTGCTCCTGGGTATTAAACAAACTAAGTGCAAAATTATGATGAGCAAGAGTGCCTCTACTAAAATTGGGAATTTTATGGCCCAAGGGTCAGGGGTTCTGGTGTTAGGGTGGGGCTCTATAGATTATACAGTGAAATTTCATGAATTCTTTGTAAATCTTCTTCTCTGGTCCTGGATATTAAATAAACTAACTAAGTGCATACTTATGATGAGCAAGAGTGCCTCTACCAAAATTGTGAATTTTATGGCCCCAGGGTCAGGGGTTATGGTGTAAGAGAGGGGGGGGGGGTCTATAGATTACATACTGAAAATACTTGAATTCTTTGAAAATCTTGTTCTTTGCTCCTCGGTAATAAATAAACTAACTAAGTGCATATTTATGATTTCTCATCATAAATATGCACTTAGTTAGTCTCTACCAAAATTGTGAATTTTATGGCCCCAGGGTCAGGGGTTCTGGTGTAAGGGGGAGGGGGGCTCTATAGATTATATAGTGAATTCTTTGAAAATCTTCTTCTCTGCTCCTGGGTATTAAATAAACTAAATAAGTACATAGTTATGATGAGCAAGAGTACCTCTATCAAAATTGTGAATTATATGGCCCAGGGTCAGGGGTTCTGGTGTAGGGAGGAGGGCTCTTTAGATTATATAGTGAAAATACATGAATTCTTTGAAAATCATCTTCTGCATTTTGTGGATCTAGGCCTAAGGGTTAGCCCTAACAAAAAAAAACTATAGTTAACTATAGTTAACTATAGTTTACTATAGTTAACTATAGTAAATCAAAGTGTCAAAGTTTTCGTCAAAGTTTTTCAAAGTATCAAAGTTTTCGCCAAAGTTTTCCTCCTCAAAGTTTTTCAAAGTATCAAAGTTTTCGTCAAAGTTTTTCAAAGTGTCAAAGTTTTTGTCAAAGTTTTTCAAAGTGTCAAAGTTTTCGCCAAAGTTTTTCAAAGTGTCAAAGTTTTTGTCAAAGTTTTTCAAAGTGTCAAAGTTTTCGCCAAAGTTTTTCAAAGTGTCAAAGTTTTCGCCAAAGTTTTTCAAAGTGTCAAAGTTTTCGCCAAAGTTTTTCAAAGTGTCAAAGTTTTCGCCAAAGTTTTTCAAAGTGTCAAAGTTTTCGCCAAAGTTTTTCAAAGTGTCAAAGTTTTCGCCAAAGTTTTTCAAAGTGTCAAAGTTTTTATCAAAGTTTTTCAAAGTGTCAAAGTTTTTATCAAAGTTTTTCAAAGTTTTTCAAAGTTTTTCAAAGTGTCAAAGTTTTCGCAAAAGTTTTTCAAAGTATCAAAGTTTTTCAAAGTTATCACTATAGTAAATCAAAGTTTTTACTAACAGAATTATTTTTTTATATGTTTAACTACAACAAATCACTGTTTTCAAATAACTTTCAATTAAAAGTACTGAACTATATAAATATACCAAAGAACAAGTGTTTTTCATACTTTAAAACTAAATTATTTAAATATTTATTTCAAAAATAAAAGAAAACTGATCTTCATTTCCAAATTTATTTTGTGACAATATTCATAATGTATGACAAAATAAAAAAAAAATGTTTCATCCATCATCCAACAGCTTATTGACAATCCAGTAATGATTTTGTCACAATAAATGCCCAATAAGAAGTTAGGTAGCATAACAAAGAATAAATTAAAAACATGACAAGCAGTGTAATTATAACATAAAAAAATAATGAAGACATTTGTGAAACTTTCACCATGATCATAATCATGAATAAAAAGATATATGAATTTAAACATTTTTGAAGAAAGCACAATATACAGTTTTCATTGATGTATACATTTTCATTGAACTTCCATGATTACTTTTGCCAAACAATTGAAGCAATAACTACTGACATATATTTACAAATATTACAAATTTGTTGAACTTTCACAGTCAGGCTATATTTTGATAATCAAATGTTACACCAACACTTGCGAGGCAAGCAACAAAATACTTAGATCTTTGCATTGAATTACTATTGTCAAAAATTCTAGTAATTCTGACACATTTAAAAACTCTATATTGTGTTTCCACTAACAAGTTAATCCCATTCGTAATGGTTAGGCAAACAAATAACAAACCTATCATTGCCTTTAATCAGATACAAACACTTTGACTGAAAATTATCAGCATTTACAATAACTCTAGATTGAGTTTCTTTTACTTTGGTAAGAAAAAAAGATGAAGTACCAGTTTCTTCATCTGACATCAACACATTTTCTATCTTTTCAAGCTGTTTACCAACAATATAAGGTATTTTACACCCACAATTGACACAAGAATGCTGGCAGTTTTGATCAAACATCATTAATTTTTCAACAACCAAAAAAACATTTCTTTTTGTTTTAATCACATAATTGATGGATTTCCCACTACATTTTGTGTAACTTTCAGAATATATCAAATTGCCTTTCACAAGAAATCTATCGAAAAATACTGCACATGGATTGTCTAACTCAACATTCAAAAAATTCTCAATTGCTACATGCTCAAAGATTTTCAAACATCTAAATACCATTTTCCCTATCCCAAAAAGTTCATTGCTTAACATGACATATGATTTGTGAAACCTTTTCCCTTGCAATTTATAACATAATTTTTTCACATCATCAGGGGCATTGGCCAGGTACAGTAAAGAAAGTTTCTTAGCCTCTTGAAACATAATTAAAGACTTGCAGATTTGGTCTGAAACATACTGAGTTCCATTAAACATTTTCAACAAATTACCACCGTTGCCCTCAAAAGGGAATGTAGAAATGCCCCAAATGGGTCCCCAATTTCGTACACTTTGAGCCACATGTAAAAGTTGGTGTACATTAAAACTCATGTGCTCTACACCATATAAAGTCTGTACTTGAAAAACAAATTTTCTGAGTGCCCTCTCTGCCAAATCTATTTCTCGTAAGGTCACAGATGATTGTAACAAAGTGTAAATACCAAAAACTAAAAGAAAAAAGTGATTCACATATTGTTGGGGTAGAACTCCTGGTAGAACAATCATGGAATAGAATAACAGGAAGGCTCTCCATTCTGAAGCTTTCCAGAATCGACGGGTGGAAAGGGTACGGGGACGTCGTGTAATCTCAAAGGGTGGCTTTAGCTTCAACAGTTTTTGATCAAGAATTCTGCTTTGCAGTCCGATGTAGAATGGTTTCCCATGGTTGGACGAATCTAGCCAAAGGCTCATAAACTGTTTTACAACACCTTGGCATACACTGTGCAGGTAATCTGGCACAAATCCTATTACCATGTTGAATACAGTCAGAAGGCACAGTGGACTCAGTCCTTTGACACCATTCACCACACGTGTTGAGGTGCATGCCTCAAGTCCATCTTGAACGAAAGAATCATGTGTCCTCTCTCTGTACTCTCCTGGGGGGTAGGCACGCACGTGTCCGTCACCTTTGTGGACCACCTCGCCTGGATGGAGACACCAGTCGCATCCGTACTGTCCATTGAACTGTTTCACATTTCTCATGGGTGGTCTGGCAATTGAGTCACTGCTGCAAAGAATGGTGTGGACCTTGGTGCAGAGCTGCCTTCCATTCGTGTCAATCCAGGTTATTCCCTCCTCACTTAATTGAGCACATGTGTTAACAAATGGCTGTAAATAAGTGTCCATCCTTGGCTTTCCATTGCCAAACCAAAGTGCAGCCAGCATGATATTGTCCTTCCTATCTGATGGTACACATTCGTTGATGATCAGCTGTATTGGCCAGATGGAGTAGCCAGAAGATTTAAAAACAGGGATTCCATCACAGTTCCATTGTAATGTTAGATCATCCTGTCCAATTGTTCCATCCTGCACCAATCTTCGATAGGCCTCTCCATCTCTAATGTTTGACAATATGCCCTCTGGACTTCTGTTGATCTCTGGTAGGCCATGTACTTTTAAGAAATGTTCAAGCTGTGTTCGCAATGGCATCATCATGAAGAAGTTGGCACTCTTTTCACAATTGCGTTGGTTACGAAATCCACAGTAAACACAATCTTGGACGAATTCTTTCCCGATGTATCCTTCACACTGCACACAGAAGTAATGTTTTTCAATGTTTTCCATGTGGTCCGAAACGTTGAAAAATTTCTCTATAAAGTAGGTGGATTTTGGAAACAGGTTTGGCAGGTGGAGATCCAACAGCTCCAACAAATCGGCAGTGGCAACTTTGGTAAGGTGGTGCTTAAGGGTAAATAGGATCAGCATGAGTAAGCTTTGGGCCCTTGTTACTGTGGAGTCTTTGTGGACCAGATCATCCCAATAGCCTTCATTCTGAAATGGAACAAGTAAACTTAGTTCATTCAATTCAATTGACTTTGTGCAAAACATTAATGATACAGGGTTCTTGATCATTCCACAATTTACTGTGTTGCAAACACAGCAGGAAACACAATATTCGCAGTATTTTTATGATCAAATTTACAGCTGCACCCCAAATGAAAGCATATATTTTGCACATATTTAAATTATAAAACACATTATATATATATATAAATATTTGAAAAGCAGGGGAAAATCTGGCCGATGAGATGATAACATTGCAACTTTCTAAATGCAAAATTGCTAGACTAAGTGTATTATCAAGTTAAAAGGAAAGTAACTTCAGAATAGTACATGATCAGAGCAAAATACATTTAGAGAAGTAAATTTACAATTTACAATACTTAACTCTAGTGGTAATTAAGGAATTCACGTTCAATGTGTTTGAGACATTGAATGGAATATATGCAAGACCAATAAAACCTCTTAAACAAGAGATCTTTGTAAAACACATATGCACCCCAGTGGAATTTTTCCAAGTCCAAGGGGCATAACTCTGCCAAAAATGGCTCGATTGTACCCAAAACAAAAGCTGACCTAGATATTCATCTGAGGAATTTGTATACTAAATTTCATTTCAGTATGTACATGTACAAACTCTGCAAAGTAAATAAACATAAACTGCAAATAACTGAAATTTGTCGAAGTCCAAGGGGCATATTATCTGTGTCAAAAATGAGGCAATTGTACCCAAAACAATACTTGATCTAGATATTTCTCTGATATATCAATATACCAAATTTTATTTCAGTATGTGCAACAGTTGTGAAGAAAATGAATGAAAACTTAAGTGGACCGACATACAGCAGCAGAGCACTATGCCCTCCCTTCTTCAAGGGGGAGGGGACAAAAAAAGATTTAAACCTATTATCTATATGGTTATTATTACTGCCCATGCCTGAAGTTTGATAATAAATATGCATGTCAAAGACAAAGGGTGATCATTCATTGTGTTTCACGCGACCTTGTAGGGTAGGGCAACACCATTTTTAAACAGGCTGATCATGATTTCAAAAACATTCTTCACTGGTGATAGACATTATAAGAGAAAAATTGTTGGATAAGAACAAGTAATAAAATAATTCCTAGATTCCTAGAGACTGCAAAAGATTAAAGTAGGGACATACGTTAATAGTATTAAAAAGGTGGATGTCACTATAGGGGTCTATTTGTTGAAAGCAAAAATAACACAAACAGTAAAAAGACAATGGCTTTATAGAAAATTTTGATAGAGCAAAATTTTTTTTTGAATTAGCCTAGTTCTGTTTTTATTTTTTTATTTTTAAAAACTCAATTTTTGATTATTTTTTTAGTAAAATTGATGAGTTGTTCTAAATGTATTTAATCAAATAATAATTGAATTTGACAATGTATTTTTCATTTAAATACATGTTAACATTTAAATACTTGTATAATTAACTTAACCGAGACACGTCGCGCGCCGTCGATTCAGCGAAATTCCCCCCATGCATCAAAAATTTTCTGGGGAAAACACTGTTCGATGTTTAAACATTCATCACTAGTTCTTGCTCTCTGCACTTGGATTAGGTAATATATTTAAATATGACAATTTTATTTTATTTGTTAGCGATTTTGGCAACAATTATTTTGTATTGAATGAGCTCTTAACAACCGACAATAGATTGTCAGTGACAATTGGCCCATCAATATCAATTAAAGACATGATTTAAACCCAACAACACCAAAAAAAAATATAGTTTGTTTGGAATTGCCTCCCGCCTCATTGAAATGACCCATCCTGAAAAAATTTTATTGACCAAAAGTAGGAATATTTTTTTTATTATTTAATCAATGTTTTTGCCCATAACATGTATCAAATAAACCATACAAAACAATGAAATATAGTGTCAGATCTATGAAAAACAAGAAATCTGTGAGCCAATGCTCACTAGGAATACCCCCGCTCTGATATGAATAAACACTATCATGATAATATACACAAGTTCCATTACGGACAGATGCACAGACAAACAGGAAGTTGACTTCAGAGTCATATAAAAATTAATCCCACCATATGACATGCCTCAACAAAGAGCGTACTAAAATTTCAAGCATCTGTGATTTGTTGATGAGAAAACTGCGACAAAAAATTTGTTATGTATGAAACGGAGAGATGCAAAAACAAACATGAAGTTGACATCTGATTTGACCAAAAATGTATCCCACCTTATGGCATGCCTAAGAGAAGATTGTGTTAAAATTTCAAGCATATGCGATGAGTAGTTTCTGAGAAAACTGCGTTGAAAATTTGTTATGTATGAAATGGACAGATGCACAGACAAACAGGAAGTTGACAATGGATTTGAATAAAAATGTATCCCACCATATAATATGCATCAGAGAAGATTGTGTTAAAATTTCAAGCATCTGTGATGAGTAGTTGCTGAGAAAACTGCGACAAAATTTGTTACCCACAGACAGACGGACGGACACACAAGGGTAAAACAGTATACCCTCTCTCCTTTGGAGCGGGGGTATAATCCTTCGGAGTGGGGGTATAATTAGGTTTTTTTGTAGATCATGTTGATAGTAGATACTTTTTTTAAAAGTCAGAAAATGTTTAAATTTACTGTTTACTGAGATTCTTATCATAAATTTGAAATTTATCTTCAACATGTTCAATTTAAAAAAAAATTATAATTTCCCTCCCTCCTGTGTCTGAAACCCTTCAGGCGGCAATTCTAAACAAACCATTTTTTAAGGATGGCCCAACTTGCACAATTTAACAGTGAAGTATAACAAACCTTGTTCTCGTCTTCTGCCATAAAAGTGTCCTCAGTGTTATCAACATCGAAGTAAATTGCATCTTCTTCCATGGCTTCCTCGTCTTCAGCATCAAAGAAAAACTCCATTTCCTATTTCTATTTTCAGAGCTTCCAGAACTCCTGCAGAAGATAAGGAAAGTTAAGAGCAGTGCATCCCCACCAAGCAGCACCTCAGTTGTGCCAAGGCCAACTGCCGCCACCTCATCTGTTCTTCCAAAGACTCCAATCTTACCACAGAGGAGTCCTTTGACACCAGTGACACCTGGTTCACCGGAGGACAACAATGCAGAAGAGGTACATGTAGATCTATGTATTGAGTAAAAGAATGTTCTTAATGTTTGTATTTAAATATAAAAATGTAACAAGAAGGAAAGTATCAATCTTTTTTCATTTGATTATAGTATAACACATTCTTATAGATGAGACAATTTTTCGAAAATTACACTGTACAAGTCGCAAATTATTTTCTTAAATATGAATTCAGGTATTTTACGCATGGAAGTTTGATACTTGCATGGTGTCTATATCAACCAATTTGGTTTAGTATTTCACGACTTCTTGCCTATAATCTGAACGAATAACTATTCTTATGGATGTATGAGTTTAAATGGATTTGACAAAAGTTTACAAATACCAAGCAAAGATAGTAGAGCTTAGTATCACTTCTAGAGCATCTTTGATCATCATTTTTAAAAATGGAAACATGGCAGTGCCCTACTAAATCCCTAGAATTTTTTGTTCATTTCCTGTAAATAAATAATTTTGTTATAAATTTTAACCACTGAAATTGAAAAATCAGAAAATTATTTGCTAAGATTGATGGTTCAATTTGTAAAGATTTCCTACCACAGAAAATACCTGTTAATGGTATTTTTAAAACTAACTGCAGGCAGGATTAAATATAACAAAATACAGAGACTTGTATTGCAAGATATCCATATCAAATTGTCTTAAAACAAGTTTCATGCACTTTTTAAGACTGTATTAATAAACCTTCAAAAGAAAAAAAGTGTTAACATCATTTATTGTATGATGATTAGAATAAAAAAGATTATAAATGAACCTAATGCCTATTGTAAAACTAATTAATTGAAATGTTTCTCAGGTTTTGAATTTCGGCACCGCCCAACTGGTGAAAAAAGATGTCTTTCGGCATGTTGGATCCAAGTCTTCCCATCTTGTTAACTACCTAATGGAGGAAGTTTTCACAGACGAGGAACTTGGAACATGCAGCTTGACGGGTGCCAAAGGTCGCTGCAAGGATTCAACTGACATCAAGCCAGCCCTAGATGGGGACAAGCTTGCAGACATCATAGGTAAGATATTTTTAAATTTTTTTTGAATATTTGAATTTTTTAAATCTAGGCTATCTTTATTAATTTCGTCATGCATGTTTGCATCATATTTATTGTTTGGAATTGAACAAATAATGTAAGCAAGTCATGACTTAGTAAATAAAAATTATTATTATGATATTAAAGCTAAATTATTGAGAAAAAGAAATCATAGAAAGGGGTTTTGAAAACCAGAATTTTCAGAAAGGAATTGTAAGTTACATGTAAAGACAGTGTCATTTCCTACCATTTATAACAATATTGATTTGAGTCTGATGCTCAGAATATTGTTCTTATTTTTCTTGTGTTTATTTCAGCTTTCACCAAGTCGCAGTGGAGTGTTACTGAAGACGAGATTAAGAAGATCATCAGAAACAAGCTAAACAACTGCCACAAAAAAGCCAGGGGATCGGAGAGACCTCCTTCCACCACTTAAGAAACAACAATTTTTACAGACATTGATTGCCATTCCACATTTTCACCTGATGTGTCTTGGGCGCTTTGACCTGGCGGAGACCATCCCTCTCCAGGCTGTTAGCCACAGCCGAAGACCTCCGCTACTTGGAACCATGCCTTGGCCCTGGACACTTCCATTTTAGTGATTTAAATAGTATTCTCTGTGTAGTATTTATTGTAGTTAATAGTGATAGTATTTATTTTTTAATGTTGTCATATTTATTCATAGTGCTTGCTTTTTAACTTATTTTTGAACTGTTTAACAAACTTTTGATGGCAAAGCATTATAAGTATTTTATTAGGAGGTTTATCTGTATATATGTGTATATACTGTTTTTTTTCTTCAGAGTTGTGATACATACATATTGTCTTATTGTTTTGTGATATGATTGAAACAGAATGTGTTTCATTTTTAGAGCTATTATTTTTCAAATATTTATTTTTAGAAAAAGTTTATCTGTTTCGCACGTTGTTCAAGTTTTTGCCCCATTTTTTGTTGTAAATTTTAACATTGTTTTCTTTTTCCTTCAGCCCTTAAAATACTGAAGAATGTGCCAAAATTTTATGTTTACAGCAGGATTGTCCCTAAGAATTAAAAGAGCAGGGCTCTATGATTGAAAGGGTTTAAAGGATTCTAGGCCCCCCTCGATCCCCTGGAGTTGAGGGGGATACCAAAATAACACGGGAGGGATGTGTTCATTAAACATTTTAGTTCAAATTTCTGTAGTTGTTAGAGACAACCCTGCTGTTATAAATACATTTTAAAACCTTGTCATCAGTGTCTAAATCACCAAATTCTGTTAAAGAGTGTAATGTTCATATCCAGAGGAGGGAACATTGTAAATTTTTCTGTGATAAACGTATCAAATTTTTTTTTTTACATTTTTTTAAACATTGTATATTTTTTCTTTGATAAAGATTTTACTTACCACATCTCAGGTTTCACCCCAGTATACTGACTTCATTTAGTACTTCCAAGAGAATTCCATGCATTTTGTATGCCATATATTTTATTAAATTTATTGGATGATCTAGATTTAGTTTATGATATTGAATGTTTTCATTGATTAATAAACATATGATTTTTTAAATACGAGTTTGTTTTTTTTTCTTACTTTGGATTTTAGTCTCTGGCTTTGTTATAAGAAGTTCATATCGTCCAAGTTTTCACTAGAAATCAAAGTGTCAAAGTGATATTTTATAATTATAGTAAACCGGACTTTTAAAATGTATCACTTTCGTTAATCAAAGTGTTCAATATAGTAAATCAAAGTTTTAACCATAGTGAGTCAAAGTATTTCAAAGTGTCAAAGTTTTTCAAAGTGTCAAAGTTTTTATCAAAGTTTTTCAAAGTATCAAAGTTTTCGCCAAAGTTTTTCAAAGTGTCAAAGTTTTCGCCAAAGTTTCTCAAAGTATCAAAGTTTTCGCCAAAGTTTTTCAAAGTGTCAAAGTTTTCGCCAAAGTTTTTCAAAGTGTCAAAGTTTTCGCCAAAGTTTTTCAAAGTGTCAAAGTTTTTGTCAAAGTTTTTCAAAGTGTCAAAGTTTTTGTCAAAGTTTTTCAAAGTGTCAAAGTTTTTGTCAAAGTTTTTCAAAGTGTCAAAGTTTTCGCCAAAGTTTTTCAAAGTGTCAAAGTTTTCGTCAAAGTTTTTCAAAGTGTCAAAGTTTTTATCAAAGTTTTTCAAAGTGTCAAAGTTTTTATCAAAGTTTTTCAAAGTGTCAAAGTTTTCGTCAAAGTTTTTCAAAGTGTCAAAGTTTTCGTCAAAGTTTTTCAAAGTGTCAAAGTTATCACTATAGTAAATCAAAGTTTTCAAAGTGTCAAAGTTATCACTATAGTTAACTATAGTAAACTATAGTTAACTATAGTTAACTATAGTATTTTTTTGTTAGGGAGGGATTCATGTGTGATTGAGGCATTACTGATCATGCTTAATATTACTGATTACTTGAAATGCTTTTTTTGTTCCCCTACCATGCCTATGGGTATTAAGTAAACAAACTAAGCAACTGCTAAGTGTATTGTTATGATGATCAATGGTGCCTATTTCAAAATTGTGAATGCCATAGCATCTGCATTAAAACATGAATCAAATTCAATCACTGGAAAGTTGTTGCATAATGCTCAGGTGACCTATAAGGCCCATGGGCCTCTTGTTTAAAATATATCATTGATTTAACCTTGATTGTTTAGTATAAAGCTTGCAATATTTCAGTCATAATACATTGACTTCCCCAAATCATTTAACTACAAGGATGACAAAAATATGACATATATAATATAATATATATGATATGCTTTATAAAGACTTTTTAACAATGTTATTTCAATTTGCCAATTGTTGATTTCTGTATAAACTGAATTATCTGATTAAAACTACATATCCCGTTAGAAAAAAGCTTTTTCAAAACTTTGTTTTAAAATTTGTTACAGAAGTCGGGACAGAAGATCATGCCTTGGTCAAATCAAAGGAGTTCCCTCAGTCTTTCAGAGAGATGGCAGAAAGTTCATTCAACATGAAGATGATGTGCACATAATGTAATCTGGAATCTAAAGTTAGAGATAAAAACCTGCAAACTTACTAGCAAATAAGCCTTTCGGCTTGTTAATTATTCTTTGCCGGACACTTCACCTTTAGGAATGCTCTTTATTTCTATCAATGATGCATGTGGTTATTCAAGATCATGTCATGTGATATAAGGAATTTTGACTTTTGACAGCATAAGACAAGGGTTTGTGAGAAGAGTAGCAAATACTTAAGAAATCCTTGGATACTGGAATTCAGTCAATGTATGCCAAATAAACTGGATGAGTGAAAGATTGTATTTGAAGTTCTGTGCTTGTCCATCTTTGCTGTTTTTTCATATGCTTAGAAAATGACAAAAGTTGTTTTAACAAGTGACCCAGTAAAGACATGAAAATGTAAAATAATTCTTGTAAGAAAAGAAAAATTGTAAATGTTTTCTTATACAATGTATTCTAGATGACAAAGAATGTGTTTGACTAAGTTTTTGAAAATGACAAAATAAATTCTCTTTTGTGTAATTAAAAAATGATAATGGTTGCAATACATGTTTACCTTAATATGATTTTAATAGTATTTGTCACTAAGATTGAAATACTTGAGAACATATTTTACAAATTTTGTTCCAGTTTACTTAAGTCAGAGATATATTTTTTGAATGACAACCAAGATTTGAAAAAAAAGAAAAAACAAAGAAATTAAAACAAAACTATTCACTTTTGTGATATCTTTGTTGATTTTGTTGTTTACAATTTTATGTGTCAGTTATAGGACAATAT